AAATATTATTTTAACGTTTTTGCAGACCCAACAACACACTTTTGATGAACGGCCTTACAACATCAATTGCCAACAATGTCATTGCTAACAACATCAATCAACAACAGCAGCAGCAGGAGGCAAATGCACAGAAACAACAGCAACAACAGTTACAGGCTACAACCCAAGGTAATAATAGCCTACCGAATATGGCTTCCAAGGAGCAACAACTACATCCACAACATCAGCTGCAATATCATCCACAAATAATATCAAATCAACAACTACAACAACCCCACAATCATAAGGTGGGTCTATTGAATGACAAACAACAACCGCACCATGTTAATAATCTAATGAATAATATGGGACAACCGCCAAATCAACAGCAGCAGCCCCACTTCCAACATCAGGCACAACAACAGCAGCAGCAACGTTTTATGATGCAGCAGCAGCAACAGCAAAATCACTATAACTCCCATATGCCGCAACAGAATCATCCATTAGCCATGATAGGTGGCATGATGGAATCAGCCAATCAACAACACCAACAGCAAATGCATCAACAACGTATGCAACTGAATGCTTCCAATAACATGATAAATAGTATTGATAATATACTGGGTGCAGGTGCCGCTGGACCAACAGGCAATAAACTGACACCTCCACCACCACATGGTGGTAGTGGGGAAAATTTGCAATATATGCAACAACAGCAATTGCCTCCTCATATGCAAAATTTGCCACCCCAACAGCAGCAACATATTTTAATGCAACAACAACAACAGCAGCAGCAACAACAGCAAAACCTCTTAGGTGGACCAACCACTCCCACATCTAGCCTGGGCTTAATGGCAAATTCATCTAGCACTCCTACGGGCAATTCTTCCGCTAATGCCTCCTTCGAACACGATGATGAAGGTCTCTCCCATGACGAAGATGATGAAGATCATGAAAACGATACAAATGATGGCATGGAACCCAAACAACAGCTTATAGACGGTGGTAGTAGTAGCAGCACGTCGTTACAGGCTCCCTCTGGTGCTGGCAACGCCAGTACGCCGGGTACGAAAAAAGAAAAGCCCAGTTATAATTGTCTTTTGTGTCCCAAGTCATATCGTAAACGTAAATCACTGCTGGATCATTATAAAATACATCCGGGTTACTGTCATGACTGTGGTAAACCCAATGGTACCTCATTAGAGGTGTGTATTGTATATAGTGGCAACCATTTTGAAAGCTTTAACTAAATTAATTTTTTCAATTACAGGAAATTATACATCACAATCGTACAGTACATGCTAAGGAATTTCCATTTGTTTGCGAAACGTGTGGTGAATCGTATTCACGGCGTCAACAATTTCATGCCCATGTTGAATCTCACAACAAGAAGGAATTCAAAAGTGAGTTTGTGTCAAGAATCGTTACCGATGTTTAACATGAATTAAATAGTAAATTTCAGAATAACAAACAAATACAAATACAAACACACCCACTCAACAACTATAATTTTATGTTTTACATTTAGTTTCAGTTTTCATTTGTCCAATTTACAACTGTTTCCTGTATTATAGTTTCTTAAAATACAGAATTTCTATACCCTTCTTGAACTGTTATTTTAACAAATTTTTCACACAAGATGGTTGTGAATTGGACAAATATGTATAACTTTTACAACCCTTTTGGTAACTTAATCGAGGAGTATATTTATTTACATGTAGATATTGTTTCTGTTTCTCTAGCTTATTCCTGTATAGAATGTGGCCAAAAGTTCCCCCACAAGAAACTACATCAACAGCATTTGGATGATACTGGTCACAAGGCTGACGGTGCTATTTGTGAAGTCTGTGGTGATGAGTTTCCATCCAAGAATGCCTTGTATCAGCATATCATACGTGTTCACAAAAAGGACAACTTTTTCGAATGTCACATTTGTCAGAATCGCTTTACGCTCAAGGCGAACTTGGAACGTCATGTACAATTGCACACGGAAATTAAACGAACATATGTTTGTGATTTATGCGGTTCTTCCTATTTTACATATCCAGCTTTAAAAGACCATTACAGTAATGCTCATACTGATGCCTCCGAATGTAAATGTACATTGTGTGGCAAACGTTTTGGTTCGGTGAAATCGCTGCAACGTCATTTGCCATCACATTCGGAGGAGAGACCACACTGTTGTTGTTATTGTGATCAGGTAAGTCTTTTTAAAATCAAATTGTAATATGTTCAATATGTTAAATTCAAATTGTTTTTCAGACTTTCAAATGGAAAACTCATCTAGTGCGTCACAAACAAACCGTACATGGCAATCAACCATCACCCAAAAAAGTAAAACGCTTCTCAAAAGAAGGCGATGGTAAGTGTTTTTTTAAAACTTTATGTTATTAACTAACAACTAATAATACTTTTTTTAATTATTACCAGAATTAGTCCCACTAGCTGATGAGCCAGGACCTCCTCCGGCTAAAGTTGCTAAAAAATCGAATGCTAGTAAACCAAAACAGCAAACGACTCCTACTCCACCAATCCAACAGCAGCAGCAACAACAAAAGATGGGTGCTATAGCTACGCCGCCACCACTTTCCACTACGCCGGGCACATCATCATCATCACAGCAAGATCCCTTCAATGCTGCCATCATATCGAACAATAGTTCTCAGTCTTCAACGGCCTCCACATCACAGCACTCACTGCAGTCTAGTGAATCCCAACCGAATTCCATGTACAGTCAAAATTTCAGTGCTGAAAAGTTGCTAGGACAACATACACAACAACAACAACAGCAGCCGCAACAGCCACCACAACAACAACAACAACAACAGATACTAACTGCACATAATGCACAACCGCAGTCACACCCGCTTCCACAGCAGCAAAGACCAACACCACCTCCCCATTCACATGCACAGCAACAGCCACCACAACAACAACCACCACCACCACAGCAACAACAACAACAGCCACCACCACCACATCATCGTCACACGCCCAATAGTCATACACCCGATAATAATTTGCCACGTATTAATAGTTTTGGGGGTGGTGGACCCTCACAGCCTGAGACACAATTTCATTTTGAGCAAAGTGCCGCTGGCGGCCAAACTTCGAATATAACAAATCCAGGTGCTTATCCGCAACATCAAATTATCAATCAGTATCAGCAGCAACATCATCAGCAGTTGCAACAGCAAGCTGCTCAACAGCAACATATGCGTAGTCATACACCACAAAGTCCACATCATCATGTGCAGCATCAACAACATTTTCCATCAGCACATCAGCAACACATGCAGAGTGCTGCTGCTGCTCAGCAGCATCAACAACAATTGCATCATCATCAGCAAATGATGCATCAACAACAATTGCAACAGCAACAACACCAACAACAACAGCAGCCCCATCAAAGGCAACATAGCCAACAACGTTCACCACATCCTCACCAAACACCAACACAACAATTGCAGCAGCAACATCAACAACCCATGCATTCACCACAACATGTGCGTTTGCAATCACCAGCTCCCCAAGCTCATACCCCACAACCTCATACACCACAACCGCAACAACAACAACCAACCGCACCACAACAACAGCAGCAACAACCTCAACAACAACAGCCAGCATCAGTTGCTGCAAATCACCAGCAACAACAATATACAACAGATGCTTGGGGTAATATTAATTTCGTTGGTCATCCCTCGAATGCCAGTAATCATCAGCAGCAACAACAACAACAACAACAGCAGCAGCAACAAAATAATGCAACAAATTTGCCAGGTGATAAAGACAATCCCAATAAATTCTATATTGTTGATTCTTCAGAGTTTCTGGGTCTTCCAATGAATGTCGCTGGCGGCAATACACCAGGTGTGGCAGAAACCAACCAACAATTAACTAATGCTCAGCAACAACAGCAGCAGCAAACTCCCATGGTTGCTAATAAACCTCCTCAACAACAGCAGCAGCAACAACAACAGGAGCCAAATATTGGCGGTGATCTAATGAGTTTTCAGGTAATAAATTTCGATAATTCTCGAAATCCTCACGATTTAAAAGTTTTCTAACATAAATTCTAAATCCTCTTAATTTAGAGGTTATTTTAAAAGTGTTTTTTTTTTTGTCGAACTTAAGTTCGAATTTTCGAAGTTTAGTACAATATAATAATTTTTCCTTTAATCCAATAGAACATGTGGCCACAAACAAATCAGCCTACTAATCAAATGGCCTACAGTGCAAATGGTGCCCAACAACAGCAACAACAACAACAGCAGCAGCAACAACAGCAGCAGCCTCAAACCCAACAACAAGGTGCTTCCCAACAACCTACAGCCACTGTGGCAAGTGTGGCTACCACAGATCCTCATAACTACAATAATATCGGCAGTATTTTAACGAATCTCATTGATAATAATCCAAATCCCATGGAATACAATTTCGAATTAATGCAACAACAACAGCAGGCTTCAGGTGGAAGTGGTACAGCAACACCAGTGGGAGCTCAACAAGCACAACAACAGCAATCACAACAAACTCCATTGGGCGTACAACATCATCAACAACAGCAACATCAGCCTTCTGCTGCGGCTGCTGCGGCATATGGTCTACAGCCTACACCAGGAGCTAGTGGTCTAATACGTCACGCTGGTGTTTATGGGGCTCCCTCGTCTATATACGATCCCCACCACCATCCGGCTCATCATCCTTCCACATTGGCCGAAATGAATGAACAACAAAAGAATAGTTTCCAACCCTACCATCCACATGCCGGACTGCAGCCACATGCTCATGCCTTAGGAGGCCATCCCTTAGCGCCTACTGCTCATCATCCTTTGGCGGCTGCTTCTCATCTTTTACCACCTCCCCCACCCCATGCCGGACATCATGTTTATGATCGCGGTGGTTATCCAGTCTTGGGCGGTGGAGTTGATGAAGCCAAGGCCGTTCTACCGCCTATTAGCGACTATATGCATCACATGCAGCAGCAACATGTACAACAACCCGATTTATTGTATTACCCGGTGAAGAATGACTGACATTTCAAATAGGTCATGCCACCTGGTGGGGCTGGAAATAATCAAAGTGCGTCATCGTCTTCGACGAGAGGTCAAGTCTATCATCATGGACTAGCACCGCCTCCCACCTCTCATCATCAGCATCATCCACATCATCAGTATGCTGCACAAAACCCGACGGCGCATCAGTTCTCATATCATCACCCACATCACCTGCAACAGCAGTATCAAAGGGGAAAGCCAACAACTGGCGTCAATCCACATCATCCACATCCAGCACATCCCCATCCACCTCACCACCATGGTCATGGCCATACACCACCACACACACAGTCTGAGCTCTTGCACTGGTGGCCACCACCGTCATCTGCACCAGTACCTCCTCCCTCCTCAATGTCTCTATCACAAGCAAGTGCCGCCTCAACATCGGTCGCATCAGCAGCTTCACAATCTTCATCTTCTTCATTATCTGCATCTTCTGCAACGACAACAACTACAAAAACTAAGAGAGGCGATGTTTTATTTTAAATTGATTGTAAGTTTTTTATTATTATTATATTATTATTTCTCTTCTCTTCTTTTCTTTCATTTAATTTTTTCTCTTTGTATTTAAAAATTAGATTAATTTAGTTTTAAGTGAATAGAAACGACGACAACTACTACATAGGAAAAAAGGACAAAATTGATGAAATTATATTGTGTGTATATTAATATTTAAAACAAAAGGATGTAAGAAGTTTTTGCGAAACAAAAACAATTTGTTTCCCTGGTTTTTGTGATGAACTTTGTTAAGGTATATATGGAAAATATCTTAAAGATTCTATTAATTAATGATTTTAAATATTTATTATTATGTCTGTTATAGGAAAACATAGAATTGAAACTATTTGAATGAAATTGTTTAATTATGGGGTTTCTTCTTTTAAGAATATTTTAGATTTTATAAAGTGGTTAGGTATATCATTCCATAAAACCATTCATTCCCCTTTATCCTCATTTCTTGATTGAACTCTATTTCAATATCTAGGATGGAAATTTCATTTTAAACTTTATACTTGCTTTAAATATAATATTTCCCTTCCAGATACTGAATAAAGAATTTTTCAGAAATTTTCTTTAATATTTTCCTTTATTCAACTTGCAAATATGTATTTTATTTTGTTTGACTTTTGTTTTTGAATCTTTTACAACTTGAATGATGGAAAATTCCCTAAAGATAAAGTAACAATTCACACAGAAAATTTCTTTAAAACATTCGATATTGTTGCGATTTAATTTTTATCTAGAATACAAAGTGAATATTTTTATGGAATGATGACAAGGACTTGATATTTTTAAATATTTCTCGTTCGACCACTTATTTGTAATACAAACATATTTCTGAGATTCTACCTGTTTATACAGCTGACAAAAGTATGACTCGGTTCGTTCTGGAGCAAAGATTCAATTGTAGTGAGTACGATGATGTTTCGTTATTGTAACAATACGGATGTTGTTGAAAGTTACTCTTTGGCCAGGTATAACTTGGGACATCGTCCTAGAGAGAAGATGATATCGTGGGAAATAGAATATAGATTAGACTATAGATTAGTCTATAGACTATACTATAGACTTGATTGTAGACTAGACTATAGACTAGACTATAGACTAGACTATAGACTAGACTATAGACTAGACTATAGACTAGACTATAGACTAGACTATAGACTAGACTATAGACTAGACTATAGACTAGACTATAGACTAGACTATAGACTAGACTATAGACTAGACTATAGACTAGACTATAGACTAGACTATAGACTAGACTATAGACTAGACTATAGACTAGACTATAGACTAGACTATAGACTAGACTATAGACTAGACTATAGACTAGACTATAGACTAGACTATAGACTAGACTATAGACTAGACTATAGACTAGACTATAGACTAGACTATAGACTATACTATAGACTAGACTAGACTATAGACTAGACTATAGACTAGACTAGACTATAGACTAGACTATAGACTAGACTATAGACTAGACTATAGACTAGACTATAGACTAGACTATAGACTAGACTAGACTAGACTAGACTATAGACTAGACTATAGACTAGACTATAGACTAGACTATAGACTATAGACTAGACTATAGACTAGACTATAGACTAGACTATAGACTAGACTATAGACTAGACTATAGACTAGACTATAGACTAGACTATAGACTAGACTATAGACTAGACTATAGACTAGACTATAGACTAGACTATAGACTAGACTATAGACTAGACTATAGACTATAGACTAGACTATAGACTAGACTATAGACTAGACTATAGACTAGACTATAGACTAGACTATAGACTAGACTATAGACTAGACTATAGACTAGACTATAGACTAGACTATAGACTAGACTATAGACTAGACTATAGACTAGACTATAGACTAGACTATAGACTAGACTATAGACTAGACTATAGACTAGACTATAGACTAGACTATAGACTAGACTATAGACTAGACTATAGACTAGACTATAGACTAGACTATAGACTAGACTATAGACTAGACTATAGACTAGACTATAGACTAGACTATAGACTAGACTATAGACTAGACTATAGACTAGACTATAGACTAGACTATAGACTAGACTATAGACTAGACTATAGACTAGACTATAGACTAGACTATAGACTAGACTATAGACTACTATAGACTAGACTATAGACTAGACTATAGACTAGACTATAGACTAGACTATAGACTAGACTATAGACTAGACTATAGACTAGACTATAGACTAGACTATAGACTAGACTATAACTAGACTATAGATTAGACTATAGACTAGACTATAGACTAGACTATAGATTAGACTATAGACTAGACTATAGATTAGACTATAGACTAGACTATAGACTAGACTATAGAGACTATAGACTAGACTATAGACTAGACTATAGACTAGACTATAGACTAGACTATAGACTAGACTATAGACTAGACTATAGACTAGACTATAGACTAGACTATAGACTAGACTATAGACTAGACTAGACTATAGACTAGACTATAGACTAGACTATAGACTAGACTATAGATTAGACTATAGATTAGGCTATAGGTTAAATTATAGACTAGATTTTAGACTATAAACTAGACTAGACTAAGCTAGACTAAACTAGACTATAGACTAGACTATGGACTAGACTATAGATTATACTGTAGACTAGACTATAGATTAGACTGTAGGCTAGTATAGTCTAGATTAGAGACTAGATAATAGAATATAGACTATAGTCTAGACTACAGACTACTCTAGAGACTAGACAATAGTATATAGACTAGACTATACACTAGACTATATACCAGACTATACACTAGACTATACACTAGACTATACACTAGACTATACACTAGACTATAGACTAGACTTGACTAGTCTAACTAGACTGTATACTAGACTATAGACAAAACTGTTGGCAAGTCTGTGGTCTGGACTATAGAACAGAATTGAATATAGTCTGGACTATAAGAATAGACTATATTCTACACTATAATCTGGACTATAGAAAAGAATTAACTGTAGTGTGGACTCTAGTATATAGTTTGGACTACAGAATAAACTAAAATCGGGGCTACTTATCAAAAGTGTGTAAAAGAAATATAAAAAGTTTTTGCTTAAGTTTTAATAAAAATAATTTCACTTAAATAGTTTCATTTTTTCAATTTTCTTATACCAAATCAATAATTTTAAAAGGACTTCATTAAGACAAAAAATATATGTATGAATTTAAGAAAAAAGCTTTAAAGATGCATACATATTAAATATTAAAAAAACACACACTCATACATACATATATTTGAATATATTTAAAAATTCATTAAACAAAAATTAAAAAAAAAATACTACTACTGCAACTACTACTATGTACTACTTACTATATACATACTACTTTTATTATGCATAATGCTTTAGATGTTTAAGTAAACATAAACAAATAGAAATTATAATTAAATAGAAATTAAAAAAAAAAAAACAACAAAATAAATAAAATTAAATTAAGGTTAAGTGTAAAACAGTAAAAAAATTAATAAATAATAAAAACAAGTTATAAATTATTAAACTGCTTTTTTAATTATGTTCAAAGAATAATTCAAAAGGAAAATTTTATTTATTTTATAACAAAATAAAACATGATTTTAGTTTGTTTGTATTTTTGAAATTGTTTTATTTTATTGCTTAAATTTTAAAAATTTATAAATATTTAATGAACAAATTTAACTGTAGATTTTAGTGCTTTATATATATAAAACATATTTTTTTTTTCTTAAAAGAAAAAAATTCATACCACTAAACACACTTTAAGCCAGTTTTTTTTTATATATATAATTAAACATATAAATATATTTTTATTTAATTAAATTTTTCATCATTATACTACAAGTAAAAAACAAAAACAAACAAAAAAAGAATAATCATTCACCACATGTTGAATATTATAAAAACAAAACAATTTTAATAAATAATTAAAAACTAAAACAATAAAAATTAAATCTAAAACTAAGCAATATATTAAGTAGTTTTATATTTACAACAACACATGTATAAATATCATACAAATATATAGTGTATTTTATTATGTTTTATAACAAGTTATTATTAAATATTATTTAAAATAAAATAAAATAAAAACAAACAAAAACCATTAAAAACAAATCTCTTAAATAACAAATTGTATAAAAAAAAAAAACTAAATATTTGTTTTCAAACATAAATATTAAACAATTTTTTTTTTTTAAACAAAAAACAAACATTATTTTAGTACAAGAGGTTTTTAATTAATAGTTTTCCCCTCATACTTTAACCTCCACTTAAAAACCCTTTCAACCTTTTCCTCACCCTCCCTTTCTAAAAGCTTTCTTTTGTTATAATTTATTTTACCTCCAACACCCCCACTCCTTACTAAATGTATACTCGTATTCACTGAAAATTATTAATAACTTTTTCTATTTTCTTGTGAATTTTTTTATAGATTGTTTTTATTATTTAAGATTTTTTTATTTATATAAAACAACATTTTACAGTTTTTAAATTTATTATTAATTAATTACCCTAAAAATAAAAAAACGTACGTTAAACTTATAAAAAAAACAAACTATATCTTAATATAAATATATAAAAAATAAAAAAATAATGGATATAAAACATTTTAATAAACAATAAAAAAACAAAACAAAAATTAAGCCCTAAAATTGTAATTTAAAAATATGAAAAAAAAAAACGTTTGTATATTAAATAAAAAAGTAAAATTATAAAAAAATAAAATTAAAAGTGTTTTATTATATAACTGAATATAAAAGAATTGTGTTAATTCAAAAACTAAAAAATATCAGGAGTATTAGACGTTTTGTAGTTGCCAATTTGACGTTTTTGAAATCGTCTATTGAAGGCACCTTTACATGTGTCTAGGTTATGCCACCTATTTTCAGCCTGGGGATGCTGCTCTTGATAAGTTTTCCAGTAGTGTAATCGATCAGTATCTACATTTGCCCTATACCACACGCTCCTGTAAAGAACTCTGACTTTGAAAACTATATCAAAGTCCGTGTATGGGGTAATATAGTCGGATGGTTGGTTCAATATTGGAGGTAGTAGGCTTAAAATCTTAGCATGTCTATATGTTCTTGATCGCCAATTTCCGAATGAGTTAAGCCTCGATGCGCTGTAAGCAGATATGGCCATTAGTATATTAGTATAATCTATAGGTCTTATATAGTATAGCCTATAGTCTTCTATGTCTAGTCTATAGCCTAAATTATAATCTATAGTCTAATCTATAGTCTAGTCTATAGTCTAGCCTATAGTCTAGTCTATAGTCTAGTCTATAGCCTAGTCTATAGTCTAGTCTATAGTCTAGCCTATAGTCTAGTCTATAGTCTAGTCTATAGTCTAGTCTATAGTCTAGCCTATAGTCTAGTCTATAGTCTAGCCTATAGTCTAGTCTATAGTCTAGTCTATAGTCTAGCCTATAGTCTAGCCTATAGTCTAGTCTATAGTCTAGCCTATAGTCTAGCCTATAGTCTAGTCTATAGTCTAGTCTATAGTCTAGCTCTATAGTCTAGTCTATAGTCTAGTCTATAGTCCTAGTCTTAGTCTAGTCTATAGTCTAGTCTATAGTCTAGTCTATAGTCTAGTCTATAGTCTAGTCTATATCTAGTCTATAGTCTAGTCTATAGTCTAGTCTATAGTCTAGTCTATAGTCTAGTCTATAGTCTAGTCTATAGTCTAGTCTATAGTCTAGTCTATAGTCTAGTCTATAGTCTAGTCTATAGTCTAGTCTATAGTCTAGTCTATAGTCTAGTCTATAGTCTAGTCTACTAGTCTAGTCTATAGTCTAGTCTATAGTCTAGTCTATAGTCTAGTCTATAGTCTAGTCTATAGTCTAGTCTATAGTCTAGTCTATAGTCTAGTCTATAGTCTAGTCTATAGTCTAGTCTATAGTCTAGTCTATAGTCTAGTATAGTCTAGTCTATAGTCTAGTCTAAGTCTAGTCTATAGTCTAGTCTAGTCTAGTCTATAGTCTAGTCTATAGTCTTCGTCTATAGTCTAGTCTATAGTCTAGTCTATAGTCTAGTCTATAGTCTAGTCTATAGTCTAGTCTATAGTCTAGTCTATAGTC